ATGTGAGTAGCAATATGTCTGGGTGAGCACATTGCAGACATCGGTTGTACTTGTTACCCACTTTCCTAGGAACCGTTAGCAGGATCAATGACTTTAGCAGGCATTGACAGCAGTGATGGCAGCTCTGGACATCTTTGTTTTGACCTTTGGATGGTTCATTTTATACGTCGTCTTGACTGGGTTGTGGGATGCTCAGAGAAATAGCATGATTTCTGGGCATTCCTCAAAGAGATCAGTATTGGAATTGGTGGAATAAAGCAGATGGCTTCTCTGATGTAGGTAAACATTATTCAATCCATTAAGGGCCCAACAGAACAAAAAGTTAGAGGAAGGTTGAAAATAACCCTGCCTGATTTCTTGAGTTGGGACAACAATCTTCTCTTGCTCTGGCACTCCTTATTCTTTTTTTTTTTTTATTGTAAAATGGGTTATAGAAACCATCATTATTTTCATCCCCAGAGATAATTTAAGTACATATTCTATTTCTTCTGCTTCAGTACTTCTCCTTGCTTAATGGATTCTTGATCTTTCCTTCCATCTATTTTCTTAGACCAAGTTGTCATTACCTGGTGTCTGAATTACTACAGAAAAACTCATCTTTCTCCCTTTTTTTTTCTTTTTCCATTTTTTTATTGGTTGTTCACAACCTTACAAAGCTCTTGACATATCATATTTCATACATTAGATTAAAGTGGGTTATGAACTCCCAATTTTTACCCCAAATGCAGATTGCAGAATCACGTCTGTTACACATCCACAATTTTACATAATGTCCTATTAGTAACTGTTGTATTCTGCTACCTTTCTGATCTCCTACTATCCCCCCTCTCCTTCACTCACATCTTCTCTCTCTACCCCATCTACTGTAATTCATTTCTCTCCTTGTTTATTTTCCCATTCCCCTCACAACCTCTTATATGCAATTTTGTATATCAATGAGGGTCTCCCTTCATTTCCATGCAATTTCCCTTTTCTCTCTCTTTCCCCCATCTCATGTCTCTGTTTAATGTTAATATTTTCTTCCAGATCTTCCTCCCTGCTCTGTTCATAGTTGCTCTCATTATATCAAAGAAGACATTTGGTATTTGTTTTTTAGGGATTGGCTAGCTTCACTAAGCATAATCTGCTCTAGTGCCATCCATTTCCCTGCAAATTCCATGATTTTGTCATTTTTAATGCTGCGTAATACTCCATGGTGTATAAATGCCACATTTTTTTTATCCATTCATCTATTGAAGGGCATCTGGGTTGGTTCCACAGTCTAACTATCGTGAATTGTGCTGCTATGAACATCGATGTGGCAGTATCCCTGTAGTATGCTCTTTTAAGGTCTTCAGGGAATAGTCCAAGAAGGGCAATAGCTGGGTCAAATGATGGTTCCATTCCCAGCTTTCCCAGAAATCTCCATACTGCTTTCCAAAATGGCCACACCAATTTGCAGTCCCACCAGCAATGTACAAGTGTACCCTTTTCCCCACATCCTCGCCAGCACTTGTTGTTGTTTGACTTCATAGTGGCTGCCAATCTTACTGGAGTGAGATGGTATCTTAGGGTGGTTTTGATTTGCATTTCTCTGACTGCTAGAGATGGTGAGCATTTTTTCATGTACTTGTTGATTGATTGTATATGGATCTATACTTCTTCTTTTGGATCAGAATAATTTTGAGAAGTTTATACTTTTCTTCAGGTAGAAAATAGGTAAGCCATTTTTCTTTGCAGGTGAATCATTTGGTAGGATATTTTTCTTGACTCATTCAAATATATTGATTGACATATTTGAACAATGCTGTAAGAACGAGTACGTTTGCATTGATTTACTTTCCCTAGCAGAATCTGAATTCCTTCTATATGAAGAACTGTCTCTGAATAGTGTCTGTAGGTTTCATTGTTTTTTTAATGGTCCTTTGACTTGATATTTTATCTTTCACCAGAATTAAGTAGGTTTATACTAGCTTGATACTAGGTTTTCATTTGCTGTTAGAAAAACAAATCAAATTTTGTATTATTTTTGTTATAATCACAGAGTGTTTTTTAATAAAATCTTTTTTGAATGTATATTTCATTATTTTCCTTTATCATTTGAGAACATTTTAGAAGTCAATTTTATAATCTGAGTGAAAATTAATTTTCTATATTTCCAAAGATAATCTGAATGACAGACAATATATTTGTTTAGTCAATCACTCCCAAGATTCCTAATGTTAGATTTTTTTTTTTTTTTTTTGCAGGGGGGAGTCATTAACTAGAACTCATCAATGCTATAAAACCTTAGTGAATTTTCTTTTTTTCCTTTAATAATTGGTAAAACTTAATATTTTAGAGCCATTTTCTAGTAACATTATAAAATGATTTTTGTTTTGAACAGTAATTTTTTAAAAAAAGGTTTTCAGGTCATTCCTGATAGTAATCTAAATCAATGAAGAGAGTTAAGTGGAATCATATTGAACTTTGTTTCTTCATAAGAACTTCTCATGGTCTTGAATCCAAAAAGAAGGAAATTCAGAACTGAATATAAGACAGATAATTTAATTTTGATATTATATTAGGTTACATTACAACTCTAACTTTGTCTCTTAGATGTTATTTTAGCCAATAATATGTTACTGGAAATAAGAATCGATATTTTAAGACAGTAGTGTCTTAGTCTCTTTTTGCTGCCAAAACAAAATACTTAAGACTAAGTCATTTGTAGAGAACAGAAATTTACTTTTCATAGTTCTGGAGCCTGGGAGTCAAAAATCAAGGTTTTGGTTGATTTTTTTGCTAGTAACAGGTGTCCACCTCCAAGATGGTGCCTTGTTGCAGCATATTCTAAATAGGAGGAATGTTATGCCCTTCTCACATAGCAGAAAAGCAGAAGAACAAGAAGGCTCAATGCTGCATAAAGCCATTTTAACAAATGTCTTAATGTCAAGGGAAGAGACCTTACAATTTAATTATTTCTTATAGGCCCTATTTGGGAATAACATCAACATTGGCCATTACATTTCAAAACATGTATTTTTTGATCATTCAGATCATAGCAAGTACTGATCTCTGAGTGCTTTAACAAGAATTAGCCATTAAATCTTCTGAATTGTACAAAATTTTTTAAATGATGTGATCTCTAGAAAATTCTGCAATTGATAAATAAGCCATAGAATTATTTTATATTAACCTTTAAGATATTATTCATGGGGACTGGGGTTGTGGCTCAGTGGTAGAGCACTCGCCTAGCACGAGTGAGGTCCTGGGTTTGATACTGAACACCACATAAAAATAAATTAATTAATGATATTGTATCCAACTACAAATAAAATTAATTTTTTAAAAAAAGATATTATTCATGTTGACATAATATCCTCAATTGAGCTAATGTTCTTTTGCCCCAAGTGTGGAATCACAATAGGCTTTGGTTTCCTTCAATTTTTTTTTAGTCTTTATTATTAGAAAACTAGAATTACAAAAGATTTTTTAAAAAACAATTTTAAACTGAATCTTTATATTTTTTACTGAAAATTGGTAGTGGTAGGCTAACAAGTTGAATATATATATATATAATTTTTTATTTCATAGTGCTTCTTCTTCCCATTAAGTAAAGTTGGTAAATGGAAAATAAATTAACAATTTTATTTTATTTTCTCACAGGATTCAGAAGATGAATTAAAAACAGATAATTTATATTATAAAAATTAAATCTATAATTTTAATTAATTTATTTAAATATATTAATTCCATAATATTAATAAAAATATTTGTGCTGCTGTATCAAAATACTTGAAACTAGAGAATTTGTAGAGAACATTAGCCCCCCAAAAAGAAATCAGCAATCAATTATCCCACTTGTAATTATGCAAATTCATATATACCTTATAAAACATTAGTTATGTGATAAATACATACAGAATGAAATTTTAAATGACATAATATTTTATATGTATTACTTCCAACCTATTTTGTTTGTAACCATATATTTACTGTAAATTTGCTATATTTGAGGAATAATGACATTATTATTATCTTATATATTTTATAATTCATTATTTGGATCAAATTTTTGGTCAGATTAATAAATTTATAAATTATAAATAAAACAAAATGGCATTCTTCTTCCATAAATTAATATGTGTTTTAAAGTGAATTCAGTTTTTCTTCAACTTGATTACTCAAAACCAAAATATAGATTTATAGTTATAATGGTGTTTAAAATTTTCTTCTTATTGTAGGCTTTATTCTGAATGATTTGAAAACTCTAATAGTCCAGAATGGCACTTTTGCATTTTTTGAGTGGTGTTGAAATACCAGGATATAAAGCTACAGCACAGAAAAAATAAGGTACCTAAAAGAATGGAAAGAATATAGGTATGTGGGAATAAGTAGGCAGGTAGGTAGACATAAGCAGGAACATGAGGGAAGAAAAACCAGGGCACATACCATCTTGAATAATGAAAAGAACACTCTACCTCATGTAATGAATACCATGCCCACAGACCCACTTGCTTCACCATTTGATACTACCTTTATAAACTAGAAGAACCAGGTATAATTAGGTTAAGGGACTTTCCAACTGCAAGTCATGTGCAGAGATCTGACACACTATCATCTGGGTGACCCCATTTTATTGTAAATTACCTTAACTCTTTCAATACCTGGTGGAAGTAGCTTAGGTAATGAAAAGAAGTTTTTCATCATTGTGAAATCAGCACAGGTGCACTCTTCATGGAAACTTGCCAACATGGCAAAATGAACACAGGAACATTAAGCCATGGCAAAAAAAAAAAAATTAAAAAAAAAAGAAAAGAAAAACAAAAAACTACAGTGACCAGTTCAAATACGTAATAAAGGAGGAGCAAGATTCCCAGAAAAATATAAAAATCTGTTACATGGAAAACCCTAGGCTGTTTCCTCTCCTGAAGGTAGCCCACTCCACACACTGTGGAACATAAATCCCAATTCACTAAATAAACCCTTTATGCTTTTCTAAGTCACTTGACTGGAATCTTTTTTTTTTTTTTTTCCAGAAGACAAGAACTGAGGAATAATACTGCCCAGTAATGGTGTACTCCATTTTCTGCTTTCTACTGAATCCTCAACAAGTAAGTTGGTAGCTAATATACACAATACCATCAATATTTATTTTTCAATTGAGTAATTGACTGAAGAAAGGAACTGATGGTTGGATTTTTAAGCTAACTATATATTTGGTAGATTTTATTATCAGATGAATATTTAAACATATTTTCAGTGTTATCACAAAGAAAAATTGGTAAACGAAATAAATAAACACTTTGCTTTCTTTGCCCACAGGATGTAGGGGATTATTAGAAAATTGATCATTTATATTCAATAAATTATATTCAATCTATAATTTAATTAAATTATTTCATTATATTAATTCTGTAATTTTAACAAAATGTGTTTTTGTTGCTATATCCAAATACTTGAAACTGGGCAATTTGTAAAGAACATTACCCCTCAAAAAAGGAATAAGTGATCATTTCTTCCACTTGTAATTTAAGTAAACCAATTCATATGTACCTTATGAGATATTAGTTACATGAAAAATTATAGATTTTATTAATAGACGAATATTTAAATATAGTTTTATCATGTTTGAGTGTTGAGAGCCACAGCCAAAGGGGCCCCAGCAAACTTCTAGCTGCCAGCAAACTTCCAGCTGCCGGCTGATGATCCAGCTGCCAGCAAACTTCCAGCTGCCGGCTGATGATTGGCTCACAGTGGCCCCAGCAACATCTAGCTGATTGGCTCCTCTGCGGTGATGTTCATTGGGCTGTTTTCCTGCCCTTCAGACTGCCAACTGATGATTGGCTCACAGCGGCCCCAGCAACATCTAGCTGATTGGCTCCTCCACGGAGCTGCTCATTGGGGGATTTCTTTGGCTCTGCCCACGCAACCCAGCCAATTGGCCTCAAGAGCAGGAGGATTGTGGGAGGTTGAGAGGCTGGTGTGGGGGGGAGAGGCTTGTGGAAGCCTGGAAGCCGGTGGTGGCAGTTGGGCTCTGAGGGGTTTTTCCCTGAGGAGCTGTTTTGTTTGGCGTTTGTAGTTCTAAAAATAAAGTTAGTTTCTTTTGACAAGTGGCTCCTGAATTGTGCCCAGCCAGACTGCGGCATTTGAGATTATACAATCATGGGTCTCAGAAACAAAAAGAGTGAGACCAGGAATTGTCTCCAGCTTTTAGCCTAGAAACAGTTGCCAAAATGCAGCAAGTAGAGCTTAGTAGTTCAATACATTGAAAAGACAGACAAAAGAACTCAGGAGATGGCTATAATTTGTGTGGTTGAACACCCCGCATAAAGGGACTATATAAAGAAAGAGCTTATGATCATTTCGTTGAGGTTTTATGTGCTGAATATATATTGGTTATTGATATTTCTTATGTGTACCATGATGCACCATGAATGAAGACATTCTCGCTTTAAGAAAAAGTTACATATAGATAAATGCTATCCCTTTGAGGTTCACAAATTTAATTACTTCCTTTGAGTTATAAGTCTCTGACAGTGGATTTTTGTCAGTTAGAGTATATGGTAAAAGGGAAGATGTCCCCACTGAGAGGTATCCCTTGAAATAGACCCACAAATTCATGACATCAAAACAGCTTATTACATTGTTGTTTCAGAATTGAATTCCTTATCTATGGAAGTCTTTTAACTCTCTGGCCTGATATTTATATTTTATATTTAGGCGAGGGTTGTTGAGAGCCACAGCTGAAGGGGCCCCAACAAACTTCCAGCTGATTGGCACACAGCAGCCCCAGCAAACTTCCAACTGATTGGCTCAGGTGGCCCCAGCAAACTTCCAGCTGCCAGCTGATTGGCTCCTCTGTGGTGATGCTCATTGGGCTGTTAACCCACCCTTTCAGACCATGGAGCTGCTCATTGGGGGACTCTTTTGGCTCTGCCCATGTGACCCGCCAATCGGGCTCAAGAGTGGGAGGAGTGGGGGTTGGGAAGCTCGCCTGAAGCTGGTGGTGGCAGTTGGGCTCTGAGGGAATTCCTGAAGAGCTCATGTGGTGCAGCTTGTGAGTTGGTCTTCTCCTAGAGAAATTATAGACTAGCAGATAAATTATAATCTTCATTGGCACACTCACATAGACAGACATGTAAAGAACATTCTTTCAAAAAACTGAAATACTAGAGCTATTGCCTGGATTCATGGCAGATGTGACATAGCAAGACTTTTCCCTGATGTACTAGAAGCAAAGTAAAGCACTTTATATTCATAATATGCAGGTTACCTTTCATGTGTCATCTTCCAATGGTCAACCTATTTCTCTCATAGTATGACAACACTGAAGAAGCATGCTATTGCCTTTTTTATTTCTTTGTTCAGGTTTAAAACATTGTTTTTGTTTTGTTTTACTTCTTTGCTACTATTATCTGGCTTCATTGCTGTTGACAGTTTTCATGCTATTTATGTTTCAGCTCAATTAGCAGACCCGCAATGCAAGTCTAATATTGGAAAATAATCTGTGCAATGCTTTCAGTGTTTTATTTTATTATTCTTAGTTTGACATTCATATACCTTTTACCACAAAAGTCATAACAACTGGTTATAAGTCAAGGTATTCTGTGAACCTTCTATATCATCCACAGCTATTTATTAAATATTAAAACAAAATTTGACCCTTGAGTATTTCTAACTCTCTTCCATTTTATCCCGAAACAAATACCTTATTCAAGCATTTTGGGCACTGAATGAGGTATTACCAGGCAGGAATCATCTCTTCTTGGCCAATTTATAAGACATGATAACAATGAAAGTGGAAGCTGTGTAGAATTACTTTAAAAGCCTGAGATTATATTGTTTTGTTATGCTTCTTCTTTTTTTTCCCTAACAACAACACTGAATGATAGTCTTACAAATAGGGAGGCTTAAGGAGTTCAAATTAAATTTGATTCAGGTACCAAGATTTTCTTGTTGAATTAAAATGGTCATAGATCTTATGGATAATGACCTCTGGATTGAATGTATACTCTCCTCACTGAAGCTACCTCCAGTGGTTTATACAGGCCAAACTGTGAAATATAAATATCGTCTTTATATTTATTGCATATGGCTGCTATTTATTAAAGATCTGCCTGTAGGCAGGTGAAGTTAGTGCTACTGGAAAAGATCACACCAACTTTTTTGGTAATACAAGAAAAGCAACAACTCCATTATATTGGAGGGAATATTTTGGCCTTGCAATATATAGGGAAGGGAAGAATATTGTTGATAATTATTTTTCAAAACCACTCTTGCAGCTGTCTTCAGGAAAGAAACCACTTGATATTATTCTCCCAAACAATTTCAAGAACCTTAAATTCAACTGACTATTGACTCTTCCATCCTTCACCAGAGAATATTGGTCAGAAATCTGTTCATCTTCATTATTATCCTTACCGAAAAAGGTATCAGAAACAGCTGAGAATGACCTCTATTTGAGTGTCAACCACATAAAAGAAGTGTTAGTGCTTCCATACATCTTCCCTACGTGCATTCTCATAGCTGACAACCCATTGTTGTATAAGGCCGATTAATGCTAGCAAGCTGGTTTCATGATAAATTGGACAAGTTTGGTCAACAACCTTCAAACTGTCACTTCAAAATCAATAACTAGACTCAATTTTAAAAATTTTATTGGGAATTAAAGTCTTACCAGTTGTACAAAAAACTAAGTGTATATACTGATAATCAGTGTTCTCATTGACATTGGCCCCACTAGAAAGAAATAACAAGTGCAATTTTCATGATGGCATGTGTACCATATACCTTATACCTCTTATATAGAAGCTGTGTTGTTTTCACTTAACATAAAAACCCACAAAAGTAAAGAAGGAATTTCTCTTTTATTCAATTTTTAAATATTTATTATAAAAATGGCTTAAATTTAAAGTAAGTTTTTTTATTGGTGTGTGTGTGTGTGTGTGTGTGTGTGTGTGTGTGTGTATGTGTGTGTGCTAGGGATAGAACCCAGGGCCTTGCTTATGTTAAGCATGTGCTCTATAAATTCTTAGTCCTAGCTAGGCATTTGAAACCTGGAAGTAGAAATTTTAGCACTCAATTCATACTTTTTTAATGTAAGTGAAAGGTCTGAGACTCATATTCAAGTGGATAATATTATAAATTTGGTTCCAAAAGCACACACAGAAAGGAGAAAATTCCTCTAAATTAACAGTATTTTTACTCAGGCATAGATCTTTATGTTTATTTGTGTTGTTTGTAAATTAGGACAACAAAACAAGTGGCAAGTTACAAAATCAATAGCTTTCCTATGTACCAACAGTGAATCTGCTGAGAAAGAAATCAGGAAAACAATTCCATTCACAATAGCCTCAAGAAAACAACAACAACAACAACAACAAAAACTAGAAATAAATATAACCAACAAGGCAAAAGACTTCTACAATGAAAAGTATAGAACATTTAAAAAAGAAATTGAAGACCTCAGAAGATGGAAAGAATTCCCATGTTCGTGAAAAGTTAGAATTGGTATTGTTAAAATGGCTATCCTACCAAAAGCAGTATACAGATTCAATGTAATTCCTATAAAAATATCAAAGACATTCTTACAGAAATAGAAGAAAAGTCCTAAAACTCATTTGGAAGAATTAAAAAACCCAGAATAGCCAAAACAATTATAAGCTAAAATAAAGCAATGCTGGATGTATCACAATACCTGACTTCAATTTATACTACAGAGCTGGAGTAACAAAAACAGCATGATGCTTGCATAAAAACACACACATAGACGAATGATACAGAATAGAAGACACAGAGACAAACTCATACAGTTACAGTCATCAGATCCTTGGTGAAGGTATGAAAAACATACATTGAAGAAAAGATAGACTTTCTAACAAATGTGCTGGGAAAAACGGTTAGTCAAATGTAGAAGAATGAAACTAGAACCTTATCTCTCATCCAGCACACACACAAACTCACAATCAATTAAAAAAAATGTATGAATACACCTGGGAATTAGTACACAAACTATGCAACTCCTAGGAGAAAACATGTGATCAACATTTTAGCATAAAAACACAGGAAATGACTTTCTCATTAGGATCTCTAAAGCTTAGGAAATAATACC